GCCTCAGTGTATGTAGCTGGCGCCCTACACACTGAGCCACAGGCACTGCCAGGAGTCTTTTGCTCAACATGTTATCAGTGAGATTCATCCATATGGTTGCATTCAGGTGTAGAACATTCATTCTCATTGTTGTACTAATATTCCATAGTGTGACTATACTGTAATGTATTTATCCATTCACCTGTTGATTGACATTTGGGTTATTTCCAGTATTGGGCAAGAAGAACAATGCTGCCACAAATAGTCTTATTTTTTGGTGCGCGCATGCACACATTTCTGTGGAATTCCTGGGTCATAAAGTATGTGGATACTTAGCTGTAGTAGACACTGCCAAATACTTTCCCAAAGCGATTGATCAAGCTGAGTTATACTGGCAGTAGCAGTGGCTGAGGTTCTGCTCATATAACACCCTCCTGAATGATCCCTAGTCCTTTTAGTTTGAGAAGATGGGTACTTGTGGAACAGGCTGACATCAGATTGCCTGCATTTGAACCCCAGTTTTCTCTCTTACCATGGAATCTTCAGCAAAGCCTGTTTCCTTCCTCTCTTCCTCCCTCCCTCCCTCCCTTCCGTCATTCCTTCCTTCCCTTTTCTTTTGAGACTCTGTCACCCTGGGTAGAGTGCCATGGTGTCATAGCTCACAGCAACCTCTAACTCTTGGGGCTTAAGCAATTCTCTTGCCTCAGGCTCCCTGGTAGCTGGGACTGCAGGCAGCTGCCACAATACCTGACTATTTTTTTTTTTTGCTTTTGTTTTTGTTTTCTATTTTTTAGGATAGATAGGGTCTCGGTCTTGCTCAGGCTGGTTTCGAACTCTTGCGCTCAAGCAATCCACCTGCCTTGGTCTCCACTCCTGGTCCAAAGCCTATTTTCTTCTCTACAAAATGGTTTTAAAATTATGAGGCTATTGTAAGGAATCCATGAACCTGGTAGGTGTTCCATAAACATTAACCATTTAGGCTTGGCGCCTATGCCTCAAGTGGCTAAGGCACCAGCCACATACACCTAAGGTGGCGGGTTCGAATCCAGCCTGGGCCCGCCAAACAACAATGATGGCTGCAACCAAAAAATAGCTGGGCGTTGTGGCGGGCGCCTGAGGTCCCAGCTACTTGGGA